CCCGTTAGGGCGACTACCTGCTCAACCCTTCCACAACAGGGGGCGGTCACTTACGCCCCGCCTCTTGCTATTCCTGGTCGCGCTCCGACACTGATCATTATTCGGTATTTGCACGTCAAGCGAATAAGTACGATGGCTTTCTGGACACCTTGGCTACACGAAACCGCTCTTGACTTGAGCACTAACAGTGCTTCAAGTAGTAGGAGAAACTCGCCCTCTCCGTACGTTGAAGCACCGCAGAGCCCATACTACGGGTACATATCGCCCCAGCCAACAACATATCATCCTGGGCTCAAAGTGAAACCCAATATTCCATCGCCGCCAGAGTCTAAGGACTCCTTTGATAGTGAGTCGCTCACAGATGACGAAAATTATCAGCAATTCGAGAGGGAGTCATTTGAAGCTATGGCGGCGAAAAACGGGGGATCCCTCCTTGGAAACAATCCCAGGATGCGGCGGCAAGTTCAACCGTCGCAGGAGACCAGTGATACTTACACAAGACAACGGCAAAGAAATAACATCGCGGCGAAACAAAGCCGTGATAGGCGTAAGTTACGGGAGGCTCGCCTCGCGGTACAAGTCACGTACCTAAAGAAGCAAGTCGCTGAGCTGAAGGCGAGGCTGAACCAAAGTGTGTGTGCTCGGTGTGAACCTTCTTGCATATAGACAGTGTAAATGTGTAAACATTAGGTTTAATTTAATTATAAGTTTAGTTTTTAATTTTAGTTTAAGTAATTTTGTAAAAATAATACTATATTAATAAGGTTTCTGTTGTTGTTAGCTGTTTAGAGTGTTATGTATTTAAGTTCTATGTCGGATAAGTCTAGTCTGTAGATAGTAAGATAATCCTGAATATTTAAAAAAAAAATTGTTTAAATTAATAATTAATTTATGGTTAAGTGACTCCTTTGTGCAATTTTTTTAAATATTATATACGTATATATAAATTATGGATATTTTATTTAAAACTCCTCTTATTTCTACACATTGTTAATTATTCAAAGTTTCATATATATTTTGAGTACTGGGTAAGTCAGCCCAGCAGTAAATATTATTTAAAAACATATTAATCAGTTTTTTTTTAAATTTAATTAGTCGGTAACTCAAAATCAAATCAAAACTACACTTTTAACAATTTATATGTTAATAGTACTTAGCAACTTAAGAAAGGGCCCATACTAAATAATGGCTACAACGACTCGAACGGCGAGAACTGCATCTAACGAAGACACAAGCCAGAAAGTAACTGCTTAGTATATTTTGATCTCCTCAATAATCGCGACCCACCAGCAAAGATGATCTAGCCTGATCAGAAGATCCTCCCTTTATGTTGAAGGAATCTAAAACCCTTTTCGTCACAAGCTAGTTACAAATCTAATTGCATTCCGTCTAACCCAATATTGGCGGGAAGTCTCGAATGGTCGAACGCCCGACCAAACTAAGTCTGTTCATGCCAATAGGTTATTTGAAGTTACAATAATAAAATAGTAGTGACACAATTTAAGTAAACACATAAGGTAGCGTTTGACCTTTTTAGAAAGGAGTAACCAATAAAATAACGGTACCAACTCATTTTTTTAAATGGAGAGAGCATCAACAATTTTGCAATATCGCAATAATAGGTACTGCCTGCATTGTCTTTGAATATAATGAAGGGTTGTTCTGACAATGGGGATTATACAATTTGCATATTGAAAGAAGCTGTTTTTTTCACCATTACAAAGTGGAAGGTAATGGTGAAAAAATTATGCTTGTTTAGAACAATAAGTAGAACAAAAAAATTCGGTGCTAAATGCAACCCGCATATGGCGTAATGTTAATATGTCATATCAATTTTTGTGTCCGTGTGGTGACGGATTAAGAATACAGAGTGTCACCACCCCTATTCATCCCGTGGGTGTCGTAAGAGCCGACTGAGGGAGTAAACTACGCAGGACAACAGCACTGCAGAGAGAAGGAAAACTTGAAATAAACCCTATACATACCCGTCTGGCCAGCGTGGTATACTTAGTAGGCCAAAACCTGCTTTCTAAGGAGAGGCCGATGTCTAGCAGTGGACCTGTAAAGGCTGTTGATGATGATAATTGATGAGCAATTTTTGGGTAGTCTATGGAGCTCGCAACAGACGGGAACGCAAAATCAAGACAGACTTTTTTGTGGAATGTATCTGCACAAGGTGCTTAGCGTTTTACTATTAACATTAGCTTCGATCTTATAAGTTTATTATACTTTTACCATATTATAATCTCAGGTTTTATGTAATCAGTTTTTTTTTGTATTTCGTTCGTTTCTTTTCTATACAATTGCAGCGTATTTAATTTTGTGACCTGCAGTAAGGAGGAAGTCTGTGAACTAGCTACAGAGATACGAATCAAAATATCGTTTGATGCGATTTAAAAGCATAATATTAAGATCATGCAAGCACCAATTTTACTTAATTTAACAGACCTGAGAAGTCCTTTCTAAGCATAGCAGACAACGTACTTAGAAAGATACAAAAACAGCCTGCGGTTTTTATTCTCCTGATTGAAAACAGTGGTGGTCATAAACACTTATTGCCACTTTTTTTTTACGACAACGGCAACGCATGCATTTATGATAATAACAAAGAAAAGTGGACTCTAAAGAGTTCTGTCTATAGTTCTAGTTGCAAAAATAAACTTTGTGGAGTAGATATAAACATAAAAGATGCTTCAAAAAAAACCTCAGTGTGGACTTTACAATAGCCGCCGTTACTTTAAAAGAAATGATAAAAGACTACGCGTAATGATTAATGTTTTCGGGTGCTCATGATCTGTTTATTATTCTATGAATAATTTAAACTCGTGCTGGCTGGATAACTAATTAGTACTTACAGCATAGAAGTCCTAAGCGATGTCATCTTCGGCACAAATTAGGTGTGAGAAGAAGCTTAAATGTATCTAAGCAATGCGTATCTATTGTGTTTTCTTAGTTAAAATTGTGGTAAGTCACGTTTGTAAAGGATTACTGATGTTCTTGTGTAAATACTGCTTAGAATCCATTTAATTTCAACATTTTAATATCAGTATTATATAATTATTCTTTTTACTTTTAAAGTTGTTCTTTTCCAGTAAAGATGGATGATGGTCACTCCACTATCGAGCCAGTGAGGCCGTCCTGCTTGTGTCTATACTTACTTTGGCAAGTTCATCATCATCAAAAGCCTTTAATAGTCCACTACTGAACATTGGCCTCTCCTTAGAAAGGAGGTTTTGGCCTACTATACCACGCTAGCCGGACGGGTTGATATAGGGTTTGTTTCAAGTTTTCCTTCTTTTTACAGTGCTGCTGTCCTGCATAGTTTGCTCTCTTAGTAGGCTCTTACGACACCCATGTGACATTTTGAATACATGCCCTTAATCGACGTGATCCGGCGCTCAGAGATACTCGTAAACACTCCGATGAGGTTTATCGCAGACGGTCTCCTTGTAATGTTGCTCTATCTTGTAGTCCAGTAAGTTTAAATCTGGCCTAGAAGAGAGCCAGTCTTTATGCCCGATGAAGGACACCAGGTCCTGCGTTGTTTTGCGCCCTTAGTCGGCTCTTACGACACCCACGGGATGAATTGGGGTAGTGACCTTCCGTATTCTTAATCCGTCACTACATGGATTTATGATTGGAAAGTTACTCATACATATTATAAGGTCACAATAGTTGTTAGTATTCTGTGTTATCGTTTACCTGTTCTGTTTTATTACGTAGTTACACGTTGTAAAGTGACAAACCTAAATATCAAAGATAAGTAGATGTGTCGTCGTTGTTTATATGTATCTGTTGTCTATTAAAGTTTAAAGAGAATACTTTGTACGTCTGTTTAGGAACATTTACTTAAAGTGTATTTATGGAAAAAATCTTAAATTCAAATGGTTTCATTGTGAATCACATGTACAGGGGGTGTTTTACAAATTTATTTTTAATTTTTTACTTTGGTTTTCTGTAAAAAGCGTGGTTTTTAGTTTTTTAAACTTTTTTTGTGTGTGTATTCAGTGTATATTCATCGGTCCTCGATATATCTACAAAGTTTAAACGAATTCTGACCGTTTAAAGTCAGTCAAAATCACGCCCAAAGGAGTCGGTTACAAACAAACATACACATCACATCAACAGCCTAGAATAATCCACTGCTGGATATAGGCCTCTCCTTAGAAAGGAGGTTTTGGCCTACTATACCACGCTGGCCAGGCGGGTTGGTATAGGGTTTGTGTCAAGTTTTCCTTCTCTCTGCAGTGCTGTTGTTCTGCGTAGTTTTTTTCCCTTAGTCGGCTCTTACGAGACCCAGAAAATAATAATAGTGACAATTCGAATAGGTACTAGGCGATCTTTATTACAAATAAATGAAGGTACCATTATAGTATCCTTCGCCTTCTCGAATATTCTTCCACAGATATTTTTAACTAGGTACCAGTGGTGCTAAAATAAGTTATAATAAATTCGAAGATTCTGGTTCTAATCCATCGTTAGCAATATAGGTATTAAACGGATACAAAAAAAAAACTCTTATCGAAACCAAAGTTATGTTCTAGTGTGCAAAACCTATTTAATGAGTCAAAACAAACAAATTAACACTCGGCAGTCCCGTTAGGGCGACTACCTGCTCAACCCTTTTACTACAGGGGGCGGTCACTTTCGCCCCGCCTCTTGCTATTCCTGGTCGCGCTCCGACACTGATCATTATTCGTTATTTGCACGTCAAGTGAACAAGTGCAATGGCTCTCTGGACTTTTTGGTTACAAGAAACCGCTCTTGACTTGAGCACTAACAGTGCTTCAAGTAGTAGGAGAATCTCGCCCTTGCCGTACGTTGGAGCACCGCCGAACCCATACTACGGGTACATACCGCCCCAACCAACAGAATATCATGCTGGGCCCAAAGTCAAGCCCAATATTCCGTCGCCGCCAGAGTCTAGGGACTCCTGCGATACTGAGTCGCTTTCTGATGACGAAAATTATCAGAAATTTGAAAGGGAGTCCTTTGAAGCCATGGCGGTGAAAAACGGAGGATCCCTCCTTGGAAACAATCCTAGGATGCGACGACATATTCAACCATCGCAGGAAACCAGTGATACATACACAAGACAACGGCAAAAAAATAACTTCGCGGCGAAACAAAGCCGTGACAAGAGAAAATTACGGGAAGCTCGCCTCGCCGTGCAAGCAACTTACTTGAAGAAGCAAGTTGCTGAGCTGAAGGCGAGGCTGAACCAAAGTGTGTGTGCTCGGTGTTTACCTTCTTGTAAATAGACTGTGTAAATGTAACTGTGTGAAATTTCATAGGTTTAAGTTGTATAAGTACGTAGGTTCATAGGTTTAAGTAGGTAGTTTGGTAAAAATATATTATTAGTAAGTTTTCTGTTGTTGTTAGCTGTTGAGAGTTTATGTATTTAAGTTCTATGTCGGATAAGTTTTGTCTAAGTAAGTCTAGTTAATTGTGTTTAAATTAATAATTAATTTATGGTTAAGTTGACTATTTTTGTGCAATTTTTTAAATATAAAAATAATAATATTATATACGTACATTCATAAATTATGGATATTTTATTTAAAAGTCCTATTATGGCTACACAAATAGTCTATTATTCAAAGTTTCATTTATATTTTGAGTACTGGGTAAGTCAGCCCAGCAGTACCTAAATATTATTTAAATCAGAATATTTTTTCGTTTAATTAGTCGGTAAATAAAAGCAAATTAAACTGTCAACGATTAATATTTTAACAGTACTTAGAAACTAAGTCAGGGCCTATACTCGTACTACGTAATAGGCGTAAGTAGGTACTTACATATAATTTACTAAATACAGAACAAAATTCATAAGATGTACTCGTAATAGCATATACTTAATACATTTTAGCAGTGGTTATAGCCGGGTTAATTAGGCCTAATAGGTACTCATAGCATCGGACTACCCGCTGCGTGTAGACTGACGTGGCTCAGCAAGATCACAACGTCACAAAACGAAGAACTTACATTTACTAATTACATGACACACATACAGATTTACTAATTAAATTTTTTGTAGTTAGGTATATAACATGAAAGTTAATAACGTAATAATAATAAAATACTCAGTACAAAACATTAAATACCTTTTAACTCCTAGGCATCCGTTAAGCAGATAAACATTGTGTGCCTAAATAATAAATATATTCGACACATTTCACACTCGGCCGTCTATAACACAGACTAAGAGTAATCCAGGATAAGTTACTAGATTGCTCTAGATCTGTGCTATACTTAGTAACTACACTACTGATAAATATATCTACATTAACAAACATAAATAACACAAGACACAAACCTAATGATACATGAACATTTTATAAATCGTTCAATCTCAGAAGATCCGTGATGGTCCTAATGCCGATTTTTTGTCTCCGTACTACTTAGTAGATAGACTCAACTAACACAAAAGTTTAGTGGCTAATTACAGCTTAATTATTTAATTACTTTATAAATGACGTGCGCTAAAATGAAATGGGCTGGTCACATCGCACGCTGCACAGTTAGAAGGTTATATAATAGAGGCATCTGTTAAGCAGATAAAAAAAAATGTAAGTAATAAAAATAATTTGACACATTCCACATACGGCCATGTTTTATTACTATATTACAGACTAAGAGTAGTCTAGGATTAGTTACTAGATTGTTCTTAGCCTGTGCTATAATAACCAGACTATTAATATATCGACTACATTAATAAAGACAAATTACACAAAGACACAGAACAAATGAATGGATACATGAACATTTTATATATGGTTCAATCTCAGAAGGTCCGTGATAGTTCTACTGTCGATTTTTTATCTCCGTACTATTTAGTAGGTAGAAACAACTAACACTAAATTTGATGGCTAATTACAGTTCAATTATTTAATTACTATATAATCTCTCTTTTAATTTAAATTACCCCTAGGTCGGACTATAAGCATTTCTTCTATACATTTTAATAACATAACTGTCGCATTTTTTCTCAAGTCTTCCCCTTAAAGATTAAATCATTTTATGCGGGACCACCGTAACACAATAGTCGTAGGAAAGAGTTGCGCGCACGCACAATGCGACCTACTGACGACAGTTGCGACATTATTGTCGCATGGCCAAGTTTACATGGCGATTAGTCGTGGATATGCGGATGAGTGGTGCAGAACTGAGATATCACGGAAACGGACGTTATGGACAGATATTGTTATTAACATAATAACTTTGACCAGTTACTTAATGTCCGTTGTAATTAATTTTCATATAAGTAGGTAATAGATCTGTAATCTTTTGTGATACTTTTCTGAAGAAATTGTAATTTGTCTCCCTGAGGGAGCACCCATTTGTAGTGTATGTATAAGATAAATTTTATCGACATTTGTGAAGGTACATTACCTTAGTGAGACGTCGCGAACATCAGTGGGACTGACAACATGGACATACCTACGTTTTATCTGAATACTAAATACCAGAACTGCTTACACTTTCACGACAAAAGTAAACATGCGTGTAAGAAAATCGTTCAAGACTACCTTCAGAAGCTTACATACTAAGAAACGGAATCAATTTTCCTCACCGCACTATGACGTAAGATGATATACCAGATTAGCAAAACACACATACACAAACACACACCCACTTACACACACACACACACACACACACACACACACACACACACACACACATGCATGCACGCGCTACACATACTCACGCATATCATGAGATAAATAGTAAATGGATCAGATGGAGGAAACTCATTTTTGTTTTATTCTATATTTATAGTTTATTTTATTTCATATAGTACCCATTCAGTCATATATAATACTAGCTGACCTGCAAACGTTGTTTTGCTATTTACATTATTTTAAATATATATTTTTTTTTATTTTCTTAAAATCCGTTCTTAGCTGACCTCTACTCGGTGGAAAGAATATTCCTACCAAATTTCAAGTATTTAGCTCTAATGGTTCCAGAGATATCGTGATGAGTGACTATATACGAGGAAATCTTTTATATTATAATATAATTAATTCATGTACAGAGCTAACTAAATTCTTTGTGAGCAGCCAATATCCTGTGTCACTGGATGGTTGCTGATGCCTAAAGCACAGGTTATCCTATTTTAAGCATTAGTCGATTAAATATTTTGCTAACTAAACTTACGTAATAATGTAGCTCATACACATTTGTAGTAAAAAAAAGAAATTGAGACAATAAGCTTTATTATTATAGGGAATATTTATCGTTGGCCAGTTGGTCTCGTGGTTAGTGATGCCGACTGCAAAGCTACAGGTCGTGGGTGCGATTTCCAAGACAAATAGTTATATGATGAGCACGATCATTGGCTCTGTATCTGGTTATAATTTATCCATAATATGTATGTATTGAGAAATATACAGATTGTATCTAAATTAAACGTCAAGTGGTGAGGGGATGCTATGTGACCGCTTTGATTTTATGGTAAAAATGTTTATATTTTCTCGTTATTTTTAACATTTTATTAAAAATTGGTATCGTTATGTTGGTGGTTGATATCGAGTGGGCGTGAATAGGTATTTTTTTTTTATGTAGCGTTTGTCGATTACAATTTTGAGTAAAACTAGGTATTTTACAATATCTCGAGTAAAAAACATTTCATTTGATCATTTGTTAAAAATGTAATAAGAAATATAGGTCAACTGGTGTTTGATACAGCATTTGTTTAAAAAAATGTATCCAAACTATAATGGCAATGTCTAAGTAAGTTTATCAGCAGTGTAGTTACCACAGTACAGGCTCTACCTAGTTTGGGATCAGATGGCCGTGCCCTATATTAAATTCAAAATATTTTCATTTCATAAAAAAAAAGTTTGAAATCGTCTTTTATGTAGACTCAAAATTCGTAGATCAACACACACAGTAACAACAATCTCTGTTTTGTCAAATAGTAAGGAAAAAATATATATACAAAATCTATGATATGCCTGTGCCGACCCACAACCACCCGTTTCTAAGGGGTTGAGTCTTATGAGAAGATATAATATAATTAATAATTATTATTAATATTCCGTAGATATGATCAATCCTAATTTTTTTATTAAAAAAATGTCTATTTCGTTAAAATATTTGATATTTTTTTAGGGAAGTGCGACAAATGGCTATCCTATCCAAAAACCTATTAAAAACTCAAACAATCAATAAGGGTTCCTATTAAGACGCAACTTCCACCGAGCTGTGTGGTCAGCGGTAGGACGGAACTAAGTTCATCAATCTAACCAACATGCTGGCTCCCTGTGTCAGCAATGAATGGGTCATATTATCAATGTTGGACAATCGGTGATGGATCGATTGCTGACAGTGGGAACCACACATTTATAATTTGTTAACTTCCTGTTTATTAAAGATTTGTTGAGTTTCCTGCTTAAAGCACGTGCGCAAATTATTTGCCAATCCCATTTCATAAAGTAAGTAAAATTACATATCTAAATACGTAAACTAAAAGACACACCTAACTTTAACTGACTGTGAAATCTTTTTAACAATGACAAAAAGAGTCAAAATCTTCGAATTTCTCAATAGATTTTCTAGAATCATAACTAAGAATATTCTTGATTAAGTCGCCTATGAACCAAAAAAAACTCAAATTTGGTCTATCCGCTTAGGAGTTACGATGCCACAAACAGACATTGAGATGCACGAGTTAAACTTCACAGCTCTCGATTTTCAAAGATTTAACATGGTTTTTAACTTCAAAATATCTTTATAAATTTATGTATTACCAACAGAAATTTAATAAAAATACATGGAATATACTAAAATATACCGCTATTCGCGCGCAGTGGTTCAAACGGTAAACTCAGTGGCCCCTACACCAATCTCACACGTTCCTAATGTACACACGTTATATACACGACCCCATGCCGCGCCTGTGACGAAGGGCGATACAGCCATCGATGACGTCACAACCACATGCAACATTAAATAAATCACTTAAAACACACCTTATATAAAACGTTTAAGGTCGAGTATCGTACCTATGCGCACACGCAGATGCAGAATAGGCAGGTAATATTGATTAATTAAAAAGCTATTTCAGTTAAATAACAAAAAAAGTGTCATTTACGGACTAATCCTATTATTGAAGTAACTTGTAAATTCCATGATATAGGTCTAAAAATCCTTTAGTTAGTAGGTATGAAAACTTCCCACTCTAAAAACAACATTTAGTAGGCACCAGGTGCAAATAACAAGTCTAAATTACATTTTCAAAACAAAGTAAAAT